ATCTAGGGGAAAAATAGCCAAATATAACAAAGTGGGGAAAAGGAAACATAAGAAAGCAAGCTAAATGAGGTGATTAATTTCAAGAGCATATCAAATCAGGAGGCATAGAATACAGGAGAAATTATATATAGCAACTGCATGTATGAATTATGATGTATTGTAAGTTTCTCCATGTATGTATGGAGAAACTTCATTTGAGATCAGAATTTCAACATTATGAGATTGAAACAAATTGTGATCAGGGTTTTCAGAATTTGTTAAATATTTCTGAGTTATGTTAATGGCTTGTGGAGATAAGAAAATAAGAGGTCTATAGTCTCATTTACAAATTAATTACTTTGGTGCTTACTCTTTCAGTTTCTACAACAACAATAGAAAGAGCATTTTCTGCCATGAAAATTGTGAAGACAAGACTTCGCAGCAAAATGGAAAATGAAAAATGAATTCCTTTCAAATGCTTTGATTATTTATATTGAAAATGAAATAGTTCAGTCATTTAATGTAGACTCTATTATAGATAGATTTCGTGACATGAAAACTCATTGAGTATTATTTTAATTTATGATATAAAAGTAAATTTTCAAAATTACAATACATTATTTTAAGACTTGAAAAGCCAGCCCCCCTGACTAAAATTCCTGGCTCCACCCCTAAAACCAAGCACAAGATGGATAGCAAAGGGCTGATCGTAGGTGCTTAGGTATAAATCTATTTCTGTTTTTGATTTTGCAGCTTTGATGCCAAGGAGGAGTGTTGGAATTATTGCTAGAAATGTGGCATTCAAATCAGCAGAAATGATGAAATGAAACTGCCATGAAATGGCAGCAATGAGGCTAAAAATTGACAGCACATGAAGTTGCAATTTGACAGCAAATATGGCAGCAATTTAGCTGCAAATATGATGGAAATGAAGCTGTCAAATGATAGAAAAAATGTGCAGCAATCTAAGCTACAAATGTTGATGAAGATGCAACTACAATGAACAATAAACAAAATGCAAATGCAAATGCAAAAGGAATGCAAATGTAAATGAAATGAAAGGCTGCAAAAAAAGGCTGCAGAATCAAAGGAAGCATGTGGCGAAATTGTTTCTCTTACTTATTCCAAATTTCAAATGTAGAATAGTTGAAAGATTTGAAGTTTGAATTGTTTCTCTTACCTAATTCTGCCACTTGCAGAGTGCTAGCTACCCAAGGAAAGTATCCTGTATACTTTCACTTTGAGGGTGCTTCCTCTCTCTGTCTTATTTCCTTCTTTGCTTCCCAAATTATTAGGAGCAGTGAGACTTCTTAGCTGCAGGAGGCTTGCATCGCATGACCAAACAGTTAAAGAGTGCAGTTGTTACAACCTACCTTATTTACAATCTAAAACAGGCATAATGAAATCAACTAAAAGAGTAGAGCCATACTAGCCTCCAGTTGCTTGAATTAATCACAACAAAGGCAAGAAAGATAGCTAGAAGTAGTCCACACTTGTTAAAGCCAAAATGAATGCAGGTCATTCAATAAGGACCAATTCTTTTATAAATTTGGGCAACAAAGAAGAAGAAATGGAGAAACCAATTACAAAAATTGTTTACCCAAACACTATTTTGGTTATTGAAGAAGTTTAGGATGGCCTTATCCACCATCCAATGCAGAATAGATGTGGCGAATCACAAGAAATTAATGGTAATAACAAATTAAATCACTATTGACAAGATGAAAATCAATGATAAGCAGAATCATATGGTGAAATTATTAAAATTTGAAACATCTATGCACCTGGAAGACCAGCTACAGAATGCAAACCAGTACGCTTAAAGGTACAAATCATGGATATTGGTTTACCTTCGCTCCACACTCCTTTTCTCATTGCCTTTCACCATCAGAAACCATCTTAAAATTAACACCATTAGCATCATCATCAGTGCACCCTACTTCAACTACTTCACCAGATCATCACATATAGGTCCATCTGCAACAAGTAAAGAAACAGAGGAAAGAAAGGATAAAATCAGCTAAGAGTTCATAGAAAGAAGAGATTAAGTATCAGAATCAGTCCGGTAATGTGAATTCCAAATTGTAATGCATAAAAGTTTGGTTTATAATTTTATTAAGCGTAAACTACACAAATGGTCACTGACCTTTTTTATAAATTTCAGTTTGGTCACTCTCCTTTTAAATTTATAAATGCAGTCACTCACCTTTGTTTTAACTTGCTCTGTTAATCACCCTCCGTTATATCTCCAAATCCCGTTAAGTGAGATGACGAAATGGCTTGGACCAAGAAAAAATTGATGACTTGGTGCTTCCACTTTTATTTAACCGTAGTAAGATTAGAGTATGCACTTGTTTTGTAAAATTATACACTGATTATTTAATATTTTGCTAAAACTTTTGTTTTTATGCTTAGAATAATACATACGGCTGCAAATTGATTAGAAAGATATTTTTGTATGATAGATATTCAGCACAGTTATGTATGGTTACTAAAATTGTAAAATCTTGTTTTTTAAAATATGATTTTGTTTAATTTAACTAATAAAAATGGCTAATAACGGTAAATATTTGCTAATAATTAATGAAACAATTAATATTTATTAGTTTATAAATTAAAATCAGTACACAAATTTAAATTTTCAAATGTTGCTTAACAAAACCTAAAATTTTAATGATCTTAACAATATTAATAATAACAATAATCACACCTATAAACATTCTTATTGAGTCTACAAAAGGACTAAAAACTTAATAAGAAAGATATACTATCTATTGACTCTTTGCATTAGTAATAAAGTAAAATAAAATATGTTCTTCATATTTAATTATATACCCATGAGGATTGAGATTAAATTATTTATTTTTAATTAGCCTATTTAAGTGATTATACATATAATCCATTTTTGTTTAAAATTTTTTGATAAGTTATTTTTTATAATTAAATGAAATTTATATTTTACAGGTCAAATCATGCTTATTGAAATTATTATAATATTTTTAATGAAATTATTTCTTAATCTCTTCATTTATTAAAGTACTTTTAATTAAATTAGTTATCAAATTTTTACTTGGCCGACGCCCTCTGGTCACCTCACCTAATAGTATTTGGGGAGATAATCTAACGACAGCTAGGGAGACAACATGAACTGATTAAATGGGCATGTTAAAACAAAAGTGAGTGAATAACTTTACAAATTTAAAAGGAGAGTGACGAAATTGAAAGTTATGATAAAGGTCAGTGACCATTTGTATAGTTTACCCTTTTATTAAATGGATATAAGAATTAATCAATTTAGGCAATGACGCTTTACTGGTACTGCTTATGGTTAACACTACTGCAGGAATGGGATTTTCGAACCGAAAAATCAGTCCGGATATATAGGAAATCAGTCTGAATACATATATCCGGACCGATATTGGTCCTTATAGTTGATCCGGAAAAACCTGGTACGAATAAGTCTAATATACAGATCGACGCATAATCGGTTCGTATATATATAATGTTCGGACCGAAATCGGTCCGTATATTTCAGTAAGAAATATAAATAATTATTGAGAAATTAAAATAAGCAGACCGAAATTGGTCCCAAAAAAATAATATAATAAAATAATAAAATATATACGAACCAACAACGGTCTGTAACTGTGGGGGGAAGAGGCATCGCAAAGATATACGGACCGGTATCAGTCCGAATATTGAGGACCCAGCTGCAACTTTTAAAACTTGCAACTATATCCAGACCGATATCGGTCCGGATATTTTGGACTTGCTTGTAACTCTTAAAAGTTCCGTCTCCCAAACGGCGCCATTGTATAAACATATACAGACCGGTATCGGTCC